TGTTGATGACACAAACACACTTCAACAATAAAACAGCATCATAATTTAATCAAATTAAGTTGTAAATGTCTCATGACTTACCTTGATTAGATTCTTTCGTACAATATCTTTGTTGAGTTTTCTCACTCCAAGATTCTTGACATTGAAGGCTGCGATCTTCATTCTGACTGTAAAACCAAAATTTTGAGACTATCACAGCATTTACATAATTTCAGAGGCTTTAACATCAATGAGAATGCTAACCATACTTAGACACAGTGCTTTGTGTCTAAGCTCACACTTGCCCAGAGCGACCTGTGAAAGGCTTCAGCCCTGACTTTAACCCTAACTCAGGTAAGCTACTAAGAAGGTGATGGTGGTGGATGTATTAGACCTTTCCTTTCACTTTTTACATTGGTTTGGGCACCTGGCTGCCAAATTGATAATTGTTTGACTTAAAATAAACCATTTTACAATGTTAACTAGAAGTCAAACTTCAAAAGTAAAATTCAAATTCAAAGAAAGAAAAATGAAAAGAACTAAATATAAGAGGCTGAGTTAAATTGTCTTGCTGGTTTCCCGCCATTTCTGACCTGGCATCACACAATCAAAAGTCCAGTAAAATGAAAAGAAGCTCAATCACCACTTTGAATACTGAAGCATTTTTTTAAAGAAAGAAACAGAAAATAAAGAAAAAGAACTCACCAATTAGGTTAAGATCAATAACCGCAAATGTCTGAAGACACAGAGAGCTGAAAGAGATCCTTCACTGTCAGGGGAAAAAGGACGACTGACTGAGAGTCTAAGCAGGAAAGGAAACGTCCGTGCTAAACCACACCGCCAAAAAAAACGGCTCACAGACACAATGAGAGGAAAGCTGGCACGGATCATTTAGCATTTGAAAAACTGGATATTTCCCTTTGGAGCGGAAATATCCTGAGCTAAAAGAGAACAAGTAAAAATCTTTAAATGGAAACAAAGAAATACACATAATAATAATAATAATACACATACACATAATTTTATGTGATAGAATAATACACATAGGCACCATAACCAGAATTCTGGGAGCCCTTTATGTACATGTAATATACATTTATGCTTTATGTACATTACATAATTGTATACATGTACTTATGTGAACAATTATAACATAAAGTGTAAAGTTATCTTTAAAAAGTTTGTAAACGATTGAATCATGTTAATCAGATGTTAAATGTGTTCTGTGAATGTTTATGACACCAGAGATAAATCTCATGTCAACAGTCGACATTTTCCTGAGAATATTTGATGCTTTCAACATCTGCCAAAGAGAATATACTCTTTGTGTAAAAGTTCAGGATGTTTGAAATGAACTGAGGATTTCACTGAGACACCAGAAGGAGCTTTCATGGTCAGTGAAATGGAAGCGTCTGATAGTTTGACTTTAAATGTCTGAGTATATATTTTCTCTAAAAACTACGAGAAAAGTTTTTCACTGCTGTTTTATTTGGATTAAAGTGTGTGTGTGTGTGTGTGTGTGTGTGTGTGTGTGTGTGTGTGTGTGTGTGTGTGTGTTCAGGGTTTTTATTTTACAGTACAAGTAAGTAATTGCCTTGAAATGGCCAGTTCCTCATTAGTTGTTAGAAACAGCTTCTTTCCAAGGAATACAAGCATGCTGATCCACACAGCTGTACACACGGGTGTCCACAGACGCAGACTACACC